ATTTAATTTGTCATCTTTCAGTTCGATCCGGAAGGCTTTGGTGAAATATCTGTTAGCGAGTTTTTGGTCGCCCTGAGATCGCCGGAGTTTGTTTCCCAAGTGCCTATGAACAAGCGTGAACTGTTGCTGGAGCGTGCGAAGAAGGCCCAACTACCCGTCGGGCCAGGCTATGTGACGTTCCAGGACTTTGTCAACGTGGTAAGTGCATCCAAATCGAATAACCAAGTGCCCCTCGCTGTTGTCATTGCTGTTCCTGTTCCTGTTGCATCTCTCTGTCTCTCGTGCCGCACGAAACAAACAACGGGATTTGAGTGCAAACACAGGTGCATGTCCCATCTGCTGCTTGTTCCGAAGTGTAGGCTCGTGTCCAAACAGCAGTTGTAGCTATAGCTAGCATTTTTGTTACACTCTCGGAAGTCTCAGAAGTGCTGAGGGGTATATTGGCTGGGGAAGGCATTTCAAATGGCGATTGTAGTTGTTGCTCAAGATAATTTAATTTGTTTCATATAATATATTTCATCTGGATAGTTATAGTGATTACTACTTATACCAATGCACTCTATCCATTTTTTCTCTTGTAATTACGAGTTGAATAATCCCAACTGTTGCTGCTTTACGCTATGAAATATTTATAATATTATCTCTCACATTTATTTGTCGAGCTTCAGGAAAGACTCTTTTTGCCTCTCCTCAAGATAAACGTACACATCTTATTGCCACGCCAGTTAATATACCGCCATATTCCTAGCAACATTCCTATAGTCATTCGTCTCAAATTCGATATTTGAGAATCTGCCAATACCTTGTGTGCCTTTAGCCAGAGAATTGTGCAGTCGTTGCTCTGCCGTCACTTTTTCTCTCCTCTTTCTTGTGTTTGCACTGTGGCACATGCAAAAAGTCCATTCGCACTCGCCAAATAAATGCGGCGTCGTTCCCTGGCCAGGACACGTTGTTAGGATTTGTGTTTACCTGTGGAGAACAGCCCAGCCCAGTTGCTCGTTGTCCCTCGCCCGTCGCCAACCGGCAGTCGTTGGCTCTAGTACTGGGATAACGAGCATGCCGAAGCCAATGCCTATGCCGCGGCCCTAAAACGAATTTGTTGTCTTGTAGAAGTCCTTCCTTTCTCAAATGGATCCTGCAAAGGCTTGCAGTCTGAGTAGTTTACAATATTTCTTTTTACTGTTTGCTGTGGCCATTGACAATTCTATTGCAATTTGATTGATTCTACGCTTGATTGGCACACACAACCACACACTCACACTTACACTCACCCACACATACATAATGAATGTCAAGTGTATTTTGGTCTTCGTCTTGCTTTTCAATTGTTTGCCCAAAGAGTCCTCAAAGTCATGAATTAGCCAGGCCCATCACAAAGCCTCTATTTACCCTTGTGTGCGTGCTTGTGAGCGTGTGCATGTGTGTGTGTATGCGTAACGGTAATTGTCAATGGCATAGCTCATTCATCTGCCGCTTGGCCAAAACCCAACATCAGAACCACACAACAAGCCATTGCTGGCATCCGAATTGGGAATTAGCTCCTGTTAATAGACCGCATTAGACCTACGACTATTTGTACACCCTTTTAAAGTGGCTAAGAGGCATTTGTGTTTGGCTCCATCATCAGTGGCCTGTAAACTGGATCATTGTTATTTATTCAAGAAACTGCAAGCATCTTTAGAAAAACTTACCCAAACACCTCCCAAATAACTCTATTAATAGCTGGCCACCATTATGGGGTGCGATTCAGCTGGAGGTAGACTTCTAGGGCTCTGTTCTATCTTTGGCATCTCTCAGATCCTGTCGTCGGCGTCCTTCTGCAAAAAGAACATCAATAGCCATCTCTTATCAGAGCTAAACGATCTTTAGCTGCCTCATAGGCAACAACTTACACAACATTTTTGTACTTAATTATAAATTTCAATGATTGGCCAGGAGGGCGGGCTCGTCGAGGGGTGTCGGACGCGAGGCGTCGAGCACGATGCGTTCGACCATATGGACGCTAGGAGCAAGTCCTTGTTTGGGACGCTGCTTGAATTAAAGCAGGAATGCCGCTACCGACCAGGCAGGAGCTGTGCCATGTGCCATGCATAATGCAAGCGAAGCCGATGGGCGATGGCCGATGGCTGATGCCGACATCGATACAATGGAGAGATTGCGATTGCTTGATGATTGCTGAATTTTTAACAAAAGCTCGCACGTGACAAATCCTTTTATGGAAGCGCAGAAGCAACGGCCGGGCATGGAGACGGCGCCGGGTGCAGCCATCCTCAGCCAAGACAAGGGGCGGCAAACGTGTTGAACCTTATGACAACTGCAGGCACGAGACTGTCGACTGTCGACTGCTGACTGCCGGTTCTCGGCTTGCAGCTCGAAGCTCTCAGCTCTCGGCTGTCGATCGACAGTTGTGCATCTGGTCTCTCACTCACACACTCGCACACCCAGCGGGCGACGCCAGAACCAGTAAGAGTTGCAGCTGAGTCCAGGAATTTAACCGTGCAATGCTGTTGATCCATATCGAAGCAGGGATGCTCTAACCCTCCATGCTTTTCCTTCTCTCTTTATATCTATATTTCTCTCTCTATACCTATCGCTCTCTCTTTTGACTTATCTGGCTCTATATTTCTCTACCTATCTCTATGCATTGTACTCTCTCCCTACCTTTCTCTCTTTGTTTGAACTAAATCTCCGACTGAATCATGCTGATTATGGTAATGCTTATGGTTCCACTTATGTTTTGATCTATAGTGTGGGTTTCTCTATCCTCGAGAGTAGACTTGTAGTCACGAATGTTTTGCTGGTGGTTCGGCTCGTGATTCAATCTGAAAATGCTTGAAAACATGGTTCACGCCTTTGACCGGATATTAAATCTTAAATATGAGGGAGTACTACCCTTTTGCGGACTTTGAGGGCTATAGTCGATATGGCATATTATATTAAAGTCAGCCGACCAGCTGCAGTGGGACTCCTTGAGCTGCTCTCGTGCAGGTCATCAGGCATTTGCGGCATGATCGTGTGTATATAATGATTTGCACACTTGCCATTTAGCTGGCTATCGAAAGGTACATGGCTTTTAATTGCAGGCTGATCGGACAGCAGCAGAAAAACAACAAAAAACACTGAACAGAAGCTGCAGCTGAAGGAACGCTGCGTAGAATTCTTGCATTAATCAGAAAGTCAACGGAGCTGCCAAGCATTCGATCATAAACGAAAGCAATTGGCGACGAGCTGCAGGCTGCGAGCTGTGAGCTGTGAGCCGAGAGTGGCGAGTGGCGAGTCGTGGTCGAGAGTCGCCTCCATTATCATAATCAGCGGACGCAGTGCGACGGCGCAGCTGGCAGACGCCAAATGCTGCAAGCTGGAGCCTGGGCCCAGCCTGAACCTGTGCCAAGCACGCACCAAGAAATTCCAGCGGCTTGTCTTGAATGGGGAATGTCTGCAGACGGCGGAGGTGGAGGCGGAGGCATTGGACTGCCACGGCCAGCTGGCGGATCGGGTTTATTGAATAAACATTTGTGCAGGCGCTCCAATGACCAGTCCCCAAACTGCCCCAATACCCACTTCGGTGGCGTCTGCTCTGCTGATCTGGCAGCGTTGATAAAGAAAAAAAAAACAGCGAACGAATCAGATCAGCTGCGTACGTTCGTTCGTTTGCTCATATGTGTATATACATATAGATATATTTCTAGATATATGTATGTAGGTAGGTGCAAAATGCCTTGCGCCTTGGACTCTGGGGATGCGAGTCATCCAACGCATAGATCGTCTCATGGATGCGGTATTAAATCAATGCCAATCCATAAATGGACCAGACGACGCGTCCCGGTGATGCTTGATGTTGCAGTTGGAATCTCTTTAGCGATTTCATTATTCCACAATTACATCGCAAGTCGCATGAACAAAAACAACGAACACTTTAGAACGCTCAAACGGCTGCCTTTGTCCACTTTTCCAAGTAAAAAAGGGGGAACTGCAGCATGAAGGTGTGAATGTGCCTCAAGCTAGCTTCTTGCGAGTTCGATCATAATTCTAGAACTTAGAGTTCCTGCTTCCATCATAAGTATTATGATATATTATCCTGGCCATCATTGTTGTTTGTTGGCTTAAAGCCAATCGATTTGCGTTATCCATGGCTAAAGACCCGACGCTGGATTATATAGCAGCCATCTAGCTGTCCAACTATCTATATCCAATCATTGCAGCACACACAAAAATTGCCAAGTTGCCCAAACTGCATGTTTGGCTTTTTTCTCCATTTGCTGTTGTTGCTGCTCGTTTTGACTTGTGGCCCATGCCAAGGACGTGACAATGCCAAGGAGGCGGCGTGGGGGGGGGGGATGGCTACTGTTGCTGTTGACGATGTTTGGTCAATGGTCAATTTGGCAGCAGTTTATTTTGATTGTTGTGCATCCGGGGCAAGGATAACGACGTGAACACGAATTGGCACAGCCCCAACTGCAACTGTCCCCAAACACACACCAGCACACCCACACACGAACAGAGTATTGGTTGTGCTGCTTCAATATTTTTAGCCATAGTCACGAAATGTGCTGATAACGATTCCTAAAATCCATTTTTTGGCCTGGTTTTTGTGGCTCAGTGATGTCCTGCGGCCGAGCACGCGCACTCTACAAATAATCGCTTATGCATTTTTGTTTTCTTCTATTTGCTTTCTTTATGTCGAGCACGTGAACGCAGGGGCGTGGCAGCTGCAGGTGTAAATGCTTTAGTGTCTATCTCAAATCATGTTGCTAGCCACAAGGCCAGAAGGAAAACCAATTTAAATGCTCTTCTCGGGAGGTGGCAAAGTGGGGTATATGGGCTTTGGGGCAGGCTTTCATCCTTCCACTTGGGATTGGTTTTATAGTATTTATCTGGTCCGTGTTTGCTTTAGCAACGTGTGCGCCACTCATTAGTCACAATTGGTCCGAGTTTCAAAATCAAATTAGCTGCCGCACATTGTGCCCAACGTCTACTGTAATTGCCACAACTAATTATGTTGAATAAATTTTTGGTGGAATGACCTACGCACCTGACATTTATGATGGCACATAAAACCGACCTGGAATTGTTTGCCTTCGCCCCAATCCGGCATTTATAGTTGCTTTTTGGCCATGGCTGCAGAGGTCAACGAATCGACCCCGCGACGCCGACCCGCGCTTCAAGCTCAGCTGCCTCGCATAATTGTGACACACGGAAGCAAGCACAGAGCGCGCATCATTAACCTGTGTGAAGCATTGTAATAATGAGACATCAAGTGCGCGCCACTTCCTTAGGACACGCGCTGGTCATGTTTACACCTTGTTGCAACAACAGTACAACAGTACAACAGCAGCAACAGCAGCAGCTGCTGCCAGCGCGCGCTGATTGCGCACACAAAACAGGAGGCAGGGACAGGGACTAATGCAGGGGCAGGGGCAGAGGCATTAGCATTAGCATGGGCTGCATTGCCATGTGCAGTCGCTCGGAAAACTCTGTAAAGAATATATATTTTTTATTGTTAGTCAGAGGCAATCATATCCGATTACTAGCTATACACACACAGCATAAATGCACATATAGTATTTACTATAAGCATGCCAGGCAGTCCGCTTAGATGGCCCTCGCTCTTCTCCTGCTGCCAGCAGTGCGTGCGTTTGGTAAAATAGATTTTGCCGCACACTGACAGAGAGTCCTCTCCATTTCCGATGAGATTCGTAACACGGTGAAGGAAGCGTTTTTAAGTCCGTAGAGCCAACTATTTCTGCAAAGGAACAAGTTCTCATCTTACGGATTCAAGCTGATTCGATCCATCTTAGCCATAGCTAACAGATGTAACAGTCGTCTTAATACATTGAACTACAAATATAATCAGACTATAATCAGTCAATAAAAAACACTTTCTACCAGTTAACAAAATTATTTCTAGTTTCTCCTATCATCTTAACTCGTATCTTAGCAAGAGTATTTCTAGTTCAATTTCAAAGATATCAGTTTTTTTTTTCTTGTAAATTTCGATTTCCATTTTGCCAATCTTTTTGCGACGAGTTGCCAAACAAAGACGTGGAGTGGCTGACTGACTGGCTGGCTGCCCTGGCTTGGCTTGGGCTGGGCTGTCGGGCTGCCTTTGTGCCTTGCGTGTCATTCCATTTCCGCCAGCGTCGCAATCGCAAATCAAACAACGGCGACAGCTGCTCCTTGGAAGCGCTTTGCATATATATGCCCAGATCCTTTGCGTTTCCCTATATATACAAAGGAGGGCAATCTTAATCTATATAGCTTTTGATTTGCGAATATATCGCGCGCTCGCCCCGCCCCGTTCCGTTGCGTTCAGTTCCAAGACAAAGGAATGCGGCGTCAAAGGCCAAACGTCGAAGTAGCGCAAATCACAAATGAAGTCTTGACATGCGTGTGCTATATACAAACATACTACTATGTATATATGTACAGATGTGTGAGCGTTTGTATAGTTGTTGCTGTTGTTGTTGTGGTTGTCGCTGTTGTTGCTTTGCACACACAGGAAACTGCTGAAAGGTGCAAACGAACTTCCGCTCCAAATCAGTTTTCGATTTGTTGTTTAGCTTCAGCTACAGCTACAGCTGCCCCGCTCTGTGGGTCTCTTAGCCACGCGCTGCATTTGCACAGTTGTCGCAGCTGAGCAGATGCAAAAGATGCTTGGCCTACATAAGAAGCTCATCGGTGATTGACTCGGCTAGGCTTGCCTTGGGTTGGCTTGACTTGCCCAGCGCCTAATCAATCATCATCAAGCGTTCGTCCTTTTAATACGGTAGCCAAAACGACTGAAAGGCTGATTACCTAGCAAGTAGCAGACGTCGCTTTGCCTTTTGGCCCTATAATTAAGCAAACCGTAGWAGCAGCAGTAGCAGCAGCAGCAGCCAGGACTCACAGCGACAGGTCCTGTAAGGCAAATGTGACTTTAATGAGTAAAAATGTGATAATTAGTAGACGCCAAGAGGCCGACAAATACAAAGAGCACAAAAAGAAAGAGAGAAATGTTCGTAATTACAGCAAAAACCATTTGTCCGGCAAATTGCTCACTGGGCGGGCGACCCTGTAACAACAACAACAGCAACATCTCAAGTTAGCTAAAGAAGATTTTACAATAATATAAATGATACAACTGCTGGCATTTTCACCTGCGGCAATCACTCTGGCTCCTGTTCCATATAAACAATGTAAATTGAATTGGTGCGTGCAAAAATATTTTGATTTAATTAAATGAGCCCTCCATTCAAGATGCCTTCAAGTCCTGCCCACTGCGACTAGCCAACAACAATAAATACCGAAATGTTTGTGCATCAATTAACAGCGAATTAGCATAGAAAACAGGATAGAGTTAAAGCTTGAGGTCTCCTATTAGAAGGCAGATTATAAGGATTTAAGATGGGACGATTAGTGGAGCTCTTCTTCCTGCTCTTTATATGTATACATACCTTTATAGATTGTTGGACTCCGATCCGGCCACACGTTAGTGGAAATATTGCTTAACTACTTGGAATAAAAATGTCAACAGACACTGAATGAGGGCGCACATAAAATGCATAATGGAGTGCACAGCCAGCGAAGATGTCCTTTTTTGCGCATAGCTCAGGGCTTAACAAAAAAAAAAAAAAAAAAAAAAAACCGACACACATACATGCAAAAAAAAAAAAAAAAAAAAAAAAGCTGCAACAACGTAATTCAAAGAAATTTTTTCGAAAAAAAACCACCATCAAGAGAAGCCGCCAACGCCCTGCTGCAGGCCCTTCTATAGCCCTGTTGACCATGTCCTGAGCAATGCGCTCTGCGATCCTTGTTGGGGAGGGGCGGAGCAATGTGTGTGTTAAATGTTTGCGTCAATTTGTCGCTTTATGTTTGTGACCTACAAAAAATGTGAATGAGGCATAAATAGATATATGCTGTATAACTGTTAAATGCCAGTGGTTTAGTGAGGGTATCCAGCGTTTACCTGGTGTGGCATCGCTGTGACGTCATGCAGTGCTTGGCCGCTGGGTAATGTCATTATCAGGCTCAGCCGCAAAGGGACGACAGGACGAGGGCAGTCAGGGCTGTGTCCAGGGCTCGACTGTAATTCGCACACCCCGTTGTGCATGTCACAAAACAAATGATAAACATTTTATTTGTTGGAAATTGTTACGGCTTTGGAAATAGGCCTTATTTCTAGTTGCCGCCTCATCTCGTTTGATCTTTCTGTTGTGTTGTGTGTGTTTTAGCCAAACCAGATTTATCACAGTTTCACAATGCATTTGGGTGTTCCATTGTCCCATTGTCAACAGTTAACAATTTAATACGTAGAAACGACAAATCGGAAGTAAAATTGCCCTATTTGATTTTTTTTTTTAATTTAAGGAAGTGGTCATAAAGAGTGAAGAGATAATGCGAATGCAACTCTGGGTGGCGGGCAAGTGGGCAACGCTGACAAGTAAGAAATCAAAGCAAAGATCGAAATATTAAGCACAGCGCGGCGACGAACGACGTTGTTGTTTAATTAAGTATATACATAAATAAATGTATATAGTATATATAAATTGAATGTTTTATGTACACTCGTGTAAATTGTGGCTTAAGTGCAATATTGAGCATGATGTTAGCAAGCTGTGAGAGTAGTTGAGCTGGGAATTGTGTCAGTGTCGCAAAACTTAAAGCGCGCCAAGTTACAATTTTATTGCGTAAGTAGGCTGTCTAAAGCACTAAATAAATGTAAATTATGGTAATGCAGCTGCATTAGTTGAGTAATTGTGTTTTCCCATTTGACACGAGTCTTCAATGAGAAAAGTATGCCGTTATAATTGTGATTATACGCATTCATAATGCATTCATAAGCTCCTATATATGTGTGTGTGTCCGACGTTGCCACCTTGCTGTGAGTGTGTAGGTGTATAAGAGAGAAGGAGTGTACAATTGCTAGTTAATGGGAACCGCAGGCGATTCGTCAATTAAAATAAATTTGATAATTACTAATATTAGGCTGTCGCGGAGCTAACTAGCAGCAAAGACTTGTTACCTCCCACGACCCCCACAGCTTTGACCACAACAACAATGTTTGCGGTTACGAGCGGAAGTAACTATTTTATTTGGCTTCCCTTTTGCCCATTTGGCTGACAAGCTTAATTTGTGGATTGTGTTTGCTTTGCTTGCATACCCTACAGCAGGCTTATTGGAAAAGTAAGGTAGTATGTGTTCTGTAGATAGTTTGTAAAAGGTGATTGTAATTTGTTTATTCGTTCACTGTATTTGATACATAAGTATTTACTATTCTGATATTTATTTTAATATATTTTTTGAACGGTATGTGTTAGTCGAGCTAGTTCCTACTTCACGTTTAATAATCGTGAATTTTAATTGCGCGTAGGCTTCATTTGGATTTTCTTGTCTGTGTCTCCGTTTTAATTAAACACAATACACATC